AAACTCCCTTTAGGTACTGGAAGATGCTATAAGGGTCTCCCCAGAGCTTTCTTTTCTGCAGGCTGAACAGCACCAGCTCTCTCAACCTGTCTTCATAGGAGAGGTGCTCCAGCCCTCTGATCAACCTAGTGGCTCTCCTCTGGACTCCAGCAAGTCCATGTCCTTCTTATGCTGGGGCCCCAGAGCTGGGTGCAGTACTCCAGGTGGGATCTCATGACTGTACTTGCTGGGTCATGCTGAACTTCTCATCAACCAACACCCCCACGTCCTTCTCCTCAGGGCTGCTCTCAATCCATTCACTCCCCAGTGTTTGGGGTTACCCTGACCACGTGCAGAATCCTATCCTGGCACAACCTACAACTGACTTATATTAGGTGATAGATTTGTTTTTAAGCTGGGATGTGAACTGAGGTCTCATAAGATCCAGCCCAGTGACATCTTTGGTAGAACACCTTTCCTACAGTAAAATTCAAAAATCTCTTTTTAGAGAACAGAAGGAAAATACTTTTTTCTTCTCTCACAAACCCTTCTGGCCTTAGTTACTTCACATGATGGCTGGAGAGATGCTTTGCACAGAGTGGAATGTTATTTCAATGCTCATACACATTCTTCAGAAAGGCAAGATAAAGGAACACCTTTGGGCCCCTAGCACCTGTTCATTTGTGAGTACAGTGAGAACTGAGAGCTCCAGGTCTTGGAAGTTTGAAGAACTTTGCTATTTAAAAAACACGTAGATGTGGCACTTCGGGACATGGTTTAGTATGAGAATTGGTAGCACTGGGTTAATCACAGAATCATAGAATCAACAGGATTGGAAGAGACCTCCAAGATCATCGAGTCCAACCCTACCATGGTCACTAGCCCATGGCACTAAGTGCCACATCAGTCTCAGCTTGAAAACCTCCAGGGATGGGGAATCCACCACCTCCCTGGGCAGCACATTCCAATGCCTGAGCACTCTCTCTGCAAAAAATCTCTTCCTAATAGCCAACCTAACCCTCCCCTGGCAGAGCTTGAGTCTGTGCCCTCTTGCCCTGCTGCTGGTTGCCTGGGAGAAGAGACCAACCCCCACCTGACTCCAACCTCCTGTCAGGGAGTTGCAGAGGGTGAGAAGGTCTCCCCTGAGCCTCCTCTTCTCCAGGCTGAACACCCCCAGCTCCCTCAGCCTCTCCTCATGCCACTTGTGCTCCAGTCCCTTCACCAGCCTCGTTGCTCTGCTCTGGACCCCATGGTTGGACTCAGTGATCTTAGAGGTCTTTTCCAGCCTAAATGGTTCTATGATTACTTCCAGGTATACTAGATGTAGAAAAGAAAATCTGTGGAAGTTTAATTATTAATCTGCAGAGGGTTTGTCTGGGATGATGCTACAGGTACATCTTTAACTGGTCTGTTAGTGGTAGGCATCCAACATGCGTCAGCAGTGATGGGCACAGCTTCCCTATAAAGCAGTTAAAAAGTCTGTGAATACCTGGTGTTACCTATAATTACATCCCAGACAAAAGGAACAACCTGAGAAATGCATCTGCCTGTCTATGTTATGAAACCAGCTGAAACTCACAACAGACAATAATTAATGTGGGTATTGTTCCAGGTCATTTTAGATAGTCTTCTCACCACCCAGTGGTATGTGATGCTATAACCTGCAACCTGCAGGAGAACAACATGTGCACCACGTAATGCTTTTCGAAGTGATGCTCCATTTTCAGTGCATCTCCATTAGGTGGAATGAAAAATTTCACTTGGCATGAGGGAAGAAAAATTAAAGTGAAAGTTGGGAAGAACTGTTGACATTGAACCTTGGTGTGCTTTAGATCTCATGTGTGCTCCCTTCTAGTTTAACTAAAAGAAGGTTTTTTTCTTTAGCCTTGAGAAGAGGCTCAGGGGTGACCTCCTGGCTCTCTGCAACTCCCTGCCAGGGTTGGAGAGAGGTGGGGGATGTGTGTCCTGCCAGGGCTGCAGGGAGAGGATAGAGGGAATGGCCTTGAGCTGAGCCAGGGCAGAGTCAGATTAGATGTTAGGAGAGATGTTTTCCCTGTGAGGGTGTTCAGGCACTGGAATATTGCCCAGGGAGGTGGTGGAGTCACCATCCCTGGAAGTGTTTCAGAGGTGTCTGGATCTGACACTGGAGGATCTGGTTTAGGGGTAGGGGTTCCAGCAGTGACAGGTTAATGGTTGGACTGGATGATCTTAGAGGTCTCTCCAACCCTGATGATTCTGTGATTCTATTCTGTCATTCTAGTGCAAAATGCTGTTTTGTCAGGTAACATTTTTTAATCCACTCTGTTCTTCCTTTAGCTCGATATAACTACCAGTGCTGGTCACAGACCATGGAGAAACCACATCTGTGGTCACTGACTGCAGCCTATTGCCAGGATGCTCCTGTGAATACCAGGAAGTTTTCCTGCTTCTTAAATTTAAAAAGTTGCAGATACTATTTGCTGAGTGAACTCCTCCTCTTTCCTTGACTTCCCATCTCCTCTCTCCCAGTCACACACTGTGCTGACCAAAATTCCACACATGGAGAATATGTATTGTAATTTTCCACATGAAATCTATCATAAAAATGACAAATTGTGCCATACTAGTGACAGACATTATGAGTTCTACATTAAGATTCACCTTACTTCAGATCCCAACCCTTCCCATAACAACAGGGCTAGGTTCTCTGGTGAAGGTTCCCTCCTTCTTACTATCTTAGGATTCAAGTCTGTGATATTTGTGTTTATTGATTTATAAGGCCCCACTTGGTCATCTCCTGTGCTTTACAGACTCATAACCATTGCCTGGGTTTGAACCCAGTAATTAGGATCTGGCCAAAACAGTGTTTCCTACCCACCACATCTCAAGCCTAAAAGAAAGCAATGGCAATAGATGGGTTTGTGATGTATTAAAAAATGAAGAGAAAGCTACTGGAAGAAAATGTTGCTTTCCTAGCCTCCATACATGCTGGGCAGTGTCTTGAGAAGAGAAAAATATGGCAAAGGGACAGGATTGAAGAGCCTCCCAGACCATCTTTCCTTCTCCAAGTGACTCAGACGTTTCAGATAGGTGAAAAATCTCTTGGCCACAAAACAGAGACCCTCTGTGTGTCCCCACTAGTTTCAGCTGCTGAGAGACAAATTTCCTTCCTCCTAATTTCAGCTGCAGCATTTACCTCCCCAAGTCTGAAAGTCAAACACTCCTCTCAAAGAATTCACATCCCTCTCCTGAATTGCTGTAAGCAATGAAGCAGTGAGATGCTTTTCTTTAATTATCCTTCTCAAAATTCATATGAAAGTATGAGACCTAATTAAAAGCTTGCCAATCTGAAATCACTGAGGAAATGAGACAAAAAAAAAATCCTTCCAGAAATTGGTCCAGACTCAACTCAGCTGCAGAACAAGGCATGGATCTGACTTTTGCCTGGCCTCTGCCACTGATTCACTGCAATCCTTTCTGCAAGTCATTTATTGTGCATCAATGTTCTTATTGATGGAGGAAAAACCCAGTATTTATTTCCTTTCACAGAGTTGTCCTCAGTCTGACTAACCACCACTTGTGCAAATCTTTGGATGAAAGAAATCGTAAGAGTTCTAAGCCCTTAATATATATCACTTATTGTACTTTAAAACAGTCATCACAGTAGGTAGGAATTAACATTCCAAAGCCCATAGGGTGGATACCTTTTCCTCCATATATATATAAAAGTCATCAAGTGCTCTGCCTCAGAGGAAGGCCAACTGCAGACAGGTGAGTCTGAATTCACTCAGAGAGCCAGGAGCCTTGATTTTGGGTTTGGTTTAGCATTTTGTCAATATTGTCATTGCTGTGCTGTTTCTACCTAAGGCCTGTGAGGTTTTCCTGATGGGAGGGAAAAAAAAAAAGGCTGATAATTTGGCAATGTCCTGCATGTGGAAAGAGCTACAGGCTGGAGCTTTTGGTGGGGACCCATATGGATTTGCCATAAGGTGTTGGGTCAAGCTGTGTTGGTCTGGGCTGGTGAATACTCAGTGTTGGAGCTCAAAGTGAGTGACTGGGTGTTACTCAGCTCCAGCCATGGGTATTTGCTAGCCCAAATAAGCTCACTCAGGACAAGGGAGTCTTTCCAATAACTCCAGTAGGCTGTTTGTGTTTCTGCACCCATGCAGCCTGGTTTGCAGTAGAAATGCAAGAGAAAGAGCTAGAAAAAAAGCCACGTGTTATTAAAATCCATAATGTATTTTCAGGTGTTAACAGCATTAGTGATGATTGCCTACAAGACTCATGGTGTATTTTGTATTTGAAACCCTCTTGAGGAAAAAACCCAAATATTTGTAAGCCATAAAATCTCAGTTTTACTGAGTTCAGTCCATGGTTTTTGTGCTTGATAACTTTTATCTGATGGCATTTTGAAATTTGGTTAATAAGCACAGTAGATGCATTTCTTAGTAAAGTGATCATCTGCCATTATGGCACAGAGAGGTGTTATTTCACCAAGTAAATCTTGGAGTTGCCTTGCATGCTCTCAGTAGAGACTGGAGGGTCATACTGCTTGATTTTTGAAAAGTTTTTCCAAAAGTCAAGCAAAACTCCTTTTAGAACAGAGAGACAAGGGATGTGTACACTGTGGAGCACATCAGACTTCAAACACCTGTAAAATTCCAGCAAAGGCAGTGTACCTTCTCACTGTAAAGACAAGCTATGGGCATTTGGGGGGAGCATGTGAGCAAGCAATGAGAAGTGGCAGGAGCTAAAAAGATCCTTGCTGGCCCAGGCTCCCAGCAGGGAGCTCCATGATCCCAAGCACTCCAAGGGGAGAATGTGCTGCTCCCTAAACTCTCTTCTCCAAGCTCTCCAAGGGCAGAATGTGCTGCTCCCTAAACTCTCTTCAGCTAATGCCACCCCAGCCTGGTGCCCCAGGGTGGGAGCTTTTGGCAAGCCAACGTTGCTACAGTGCTGTTGAAAATCAGCATGGATTTCCTCACGTTTTGCAAACCACTCTGTTTCCAGGTGTCCTGTGAGAGCTGAGGAGAGCCATCACCATGATCCCTGCACTGCTATTGCTGGGTCTTTCAGCCCTTGTTGGTGAGCTGGGTTTGGGGGGTGGTCAAAGGGAATTGTTTGCAGGAGGACCAAGGAGAGGAGATGTTGTGTCAGCCTGAGGGTCCCTTTCTGCATGGGGCTGTAAAACCCTGTGTGGCTGAAGGTCCTTATCTGCCATACAAGGCTGTTTGACATCCACACATGTCCTTTAAACCAGGAGTAGGGGACAGACACCAGAAGGGAATCACAGACTCTTGATCTTCCCAGCTAACCTTATCTGATCTCTCTGCCTGCTCAGAAATGGTCTAATAAGTGTGGGAAGCTATTTGATGGAGGGTATTAGTTCCTCAGTTCCTGAGGAAACAGGGTCATTTTCCCAGGCTGAGGACAACATTCTCCTGAATGAATTCCTCACCAAGTTATGGAGGGACAGAGGAGACACTCCCAGCCAGGGAGATCAGGAACCACCACCCATCATATGAGGGGTCCTGCACTTTGGGGGGCATAGAATGGGAAGAGCCCTCTGAAATAAATTCAGAGACTGTTCTTCTCTCCCAGACCAGCCTTTAGATCTAACAGGACGTGTGCATATTCATCTAAATTGTCATTAGATTTATTTGCTTTGAATCATTCAGTTAGAAAAGGACCAGTTTCTGTTCTCTACATTTCTTTGATAATGCTAATGATGGAGAGCAATGTCAAGTGTACAAGCATGGACAAAACGAGGGGATGTGGACTGAAGGTCTGGATGACTCTCCCGTGCCTGACTGAGATCATTTATGTTCAAACACCTCTGCTTAATATTTCAGCTCCAGCCGTGAGTTACAGTTGCTATGGTGATATAAGTGCTCTTCAAGCCCCCAGGATCTCCTGCACACCTGTAAGATCCTCTGACTGTGGTAGGTGTCATTCATTGCTTGATTTGTCCACCTATTTGTACCTGACAGAGAGATGCTTTACCTTCTGTTACTGCCAAATGAAATGTGGTGCAGCTATTCAATTAGCCCAAAGGGAGAAAGCAACACTTGCTCTCCCAAAATGAGAGGTGCTCTGAAGCCTCCAGACCTGGTGGGAAGTGAAAGGACAAACTTCAGGTCCCATAGTCAGGATCTTCAGCCTCAAGGCAAAGGGAAATGGTACCACCCATTTTCAATTAAAACAGCTTCTTCATCAGCCAGGAATTTAGCAGCAGCATCCTCACAAAGCCCCAGGGCCTGTCTGCTTGAAGGGCAGGGTGCACAGAGCCAGGTCCTGAGAGCTGAGATGGCCAGTGGTGACCTGCCAGAGACAGAATTTACAGGGGAAAGGTCCCACGTGTGTAGCCATCCTTCCTCTGGGTGACTCCTTTTCGGTTCCTCCTCTTCCTTGCCTTGTGTTATTGCCCCATGTCACTGCACAGCTGACTGTGTCAGGTTCATATCTCCAGGGACTTTGCCATGTACCTCGTATGAAGGCTCTTCCAGGGCAGACACCTGGCTGCTGGTGTCCAAGCATGGATCTGAACCCTCTTGCTTGTTTCCAAACTCTTCCAAAATTGCTTTAAACTCCCCAGCTTTCCATAGTAGCAGCATAGCTGTTACTGCAGTTTGACCAGTCAGTAGTAACTTCTTTCTCCATTTTCCAAATCCTTTTTGGAACAACACTTTTCTGACTGAAGAGCTGCATTTCCAGTGGTGCAGCAGCAGAAGAGGACCACGAAAGTGTGGTCCAACCTCTTAAGAAACCTCTTTTCCCCTGGCCATCCCTGGGTACTGGCACAGTAGCTCCCTGGTCGTAGTTAGGGCTAACAGGTCTGGCTGCAAAACTCAGTGTAGATGGAATGTCTCCAAAACTTGAGTAACATCTTTGATGCTCCAGCTGAAGGGGAAAGCAAGGGGTTTGAACAGGGGTGTAAGTTTGTTTTTTCCTCCACTGCAGGAGGATATGCCTTGGTCCGGAGAACTGCTGAGGCTGACCTGGTACGCCTGAGGAGATATGAGATCCCCATCAAGAGAGTAGCCAGAAACCTGTGCTTGGACCCAGCACTCATTGGTGCCCTCATCTCCCAGGAGAGCCGTGTTGGGCTCCTGCTGGACAACGGTTGGGACCAGGGACGGCACAAGTATGGCTTGATGCAGGTACATTGAGACCTCAGTACGAAAACAGGAATGTGTATCCCAGGGCCTCACCTTAGCAAATGGCTGTTCTGTGTTTGAAACTGTTTGTGGATGTCAAAAGTTGTGCTTAAGCATTGTGCTGGGTGAGATAATGAGTTGCAGGCTGGGAGCACAAAGAAGAGGGGGAAGATACAGAGGTGGTTGTGTTCAGAGGGAAACACATTTTCTTGCTTGTCTTTTCTAGATCAGCAGGCAGCAATTGCAGCCTTCACCTTAGCAAATGGCTGTTCTGTGTTTGAAACTGTTTGTGGATGTCAAAAGTTGTGCTTAAGCATTGTGCTGGGTGAGATAATGAGTTGCAGGCTGGGAGCACAAAGAAGAGGGGGAAGATACAGAGGTGGTTGTGTTCAGAGGGAAACACATTTTCTTGCTTGTCTTTTCTAGATCAGCAGGCAGCAATTGCAGCCTTATGGACTGTGGGATAGTGAAGAACACATAAATCAGTGCTCAAGTATCCTGGTGCTTTCAATTAATGAAGTAAGGGCAAGACATCCTACCTGGACCTGGGACCGGCAGCTGAGAGGTATGGAATGGGCTACGTGCTACAAAGGGATGCACTGACTGATGGCAGTGCTGGTGTCACTTTTAAGGAGAAAGAGCATCAGTCTTCCAGATTTTACAGCATCTATTACCTAAAAAAAACAGCGAAACACAGAGTTTTCTGATTTAAAAGAGGCAATCCCAAACCAGCAGAGCAGCAATGTGAAACAGCTGTCAAGTGGATAAATGAGGTAGAAACCAACCAAAAGCCACCAAGGAATGCTGAAATTGAGGCACTGCAACAATAGGCTTCTTGTGGCAAGATGTTGTGCCCCTGAAGCTTAGGATCCAGGTTTCCTTGTAGTTCATGTCATGCACATGCTGGTTTGTTCACCCTATGCTATTCCTTACTCTCCCATCCTTGCTCTGTATTCCTTACTCTCCCATCCTTACTCTGACACTGCCTTTTTAGATTACATCCTTTTCTGGGACCATCATGCCATTCCCTCCAGCATTTTGAGCGAGTCATGGATTCCTACAAGATAACAACAAAGATTTTACAAAATCAGTCACTTTACCAATAATGCACAATTAGCACCGTGCCAAGCACTAGTGTATGTTTGGTGAGATGCATGGCCCTTTTGGCTAGAAACTTCTGCTTTTAAATCTCTACTTATAAGCCTATAACAACTCCTTCTGAACTCTTTCCAGGGGGAATCTGCACCTACCATGCAAAAATGGGCAACGTCCGTGTCTACGAGGAAGATCCATGCAGCACATACAGCAACTACGTCAACAGCGTCATCGGGCGAGCCCAGTACTTCAAGAGACATGGGTTCTAGCTCCTAAACCCACCCTGCCACCAGGCCTCTCCTCGGCATAGACCAGCCCAGTAGTGATGGTAGTACCCAGAGCAGTTCCTCAGGTCTCCTGGCAGGACCTTGGTCACTCCAGCAAACCCCAACTCCCCACTCCCCAGGGCTGAGCAGTGCCTTCCAGGGCACCCAAAGGGATGACATGCCACAAGCTCAGGGCCTTTGAAAGGCAGATGGGGGCAGAGCAGCAGTGTTTAAGTGTTGGGTGAGGAAAGTGACTCTTCCTCAGACTCAGCTTCAAACAGGATGTTCCACATCCCCCAGACACAAGCACACAGGCAGCTCTCCCTGGGCATTGACTCTTCCCATCTTCTAATGCTCTCTCCATGGCCAACAGGGGGATGAAGTCCCTGAGCTGAAGTCTTTCTTTCCCTTGATTGTACTGGCTAAAGGACAATGAAGAAACTTCTCATCAAGCCTTTGGTCTCTGCAGGAGCTGAGTATTCCTGTGGCCAGTCTTGATGGGGGCAATGCTAAACATGCTTCACTCAGTCACCCAAGCTCTGCAGGCCATGGTGGGGCTGGAGAACTCTTCAGGGTGAAAAGTGGCCTCACACAGGGGAAATCCTCTGTAAGGGAAGTACTGCAAGTGCCACAGCAAACATGCAAAATGCCTTTCCATTAGAGAGCAGCCCTTGAAGCAGGAGCCAGTCCCAAACACACCCACCCCAGAAGCAATAGCATTGGTAAAAACAACCCACAACCTATTCTGCTTTAGCTTTGGCACCTTTACTGGGTTTCCTCCAAGTTTAAAAGCATTTCATCATCTGTCCCTGTGCCAGGAATCCCAACTTCTAACAGGAGTGAATTAGCTCTGGGCTTTCTAAGGTCTGTTTGAAAGTGGTCTTCAATTGCGGGTGGGTCTCTGGGTGCCAACGGAGGTTTAATGAGAATAAGAGAGAAAATAAAGATAAATGTTAAATCCTAATGTTGTTTTTCTCTCAGTTTCATGGGGCTCAGTGGGTAGCAACCTACAATTCGAGTAAAAAACCCAACTGAGTACTCTTGGAATGGGTCTAAAACTCAGTTTGAGAACAGGGAGAGGAAAATGGGGCTGAAGATTGGATAGGTCAGAAGAGCTGGGTCTGAGCCTGGCCACTGACCCAAACCTGTGAATAAGGGAAGAAGGACATTGATGTTTAGCCTTTTAAATTGCCATTTGGGAGGTGTGAGGGCACCTTTCTGCCAGCTGTCACCGTTGCTGCTGCAGGAGTGATGTGCCTGGCAGTCCCTGCCCAGCAGTGCAGGGCCATGCTGTGAGTGTGCCTGGGCTGCCAGGCAGGGACAGTCAACACAGGCAGCAGGAGAGCTGGTTTGGAGACAGCTTTTGCAAGAAAGAGCAGCTTTAATGCTGTGCCCCTTGCCTTGCCAGTCACTCATCTGCTTGCTCTTGCTGCAAGGGCTCTGTGTGATTAACATATTCACAAGCAAACTCATTTTATCACCTCTGGAGAACAGAGGGAACTCTAGGGTGTCTCAAAGGTTACTGATTTGTTTTTAAGACTACAGTAAACAGTTCAGTGTTGAGCAGCCACAAGTATTGGACTATATATTATTTAGTCTTTAGTGAATTCTGCTCTATGGCCAGATAATTTTGCTAAAATCACTACTTTGTAATACAAACTTCTGAAATGTATCGCATGGTTTGATCCCTTCTACTTGGCATAGCTTATGTAAAATTCATAGGATGAAGTCTTTGGTGCATTATGTTATGTAAACCTCTATGTTATATAAACTTCTTATGTAAAGCCCACGGATTCATTTTTGGTAGATCAGTATAAACTTCCAATGGGGCAGGGAATCTCATCGATGCCTATGTGTACACTGTTGGGCTTTGAGTTCAGAGGGTGAACAAGAGTGGAGCTTTCTTTGGTTGCCTTCATGTCAGCCTCAATCACTGCCAGCAAGCTCCTTGTCACCACTGCTGGTGCTGCCAACTCCTCAGGAGTCCAATTTCTGCAAGTGTTACCTGTGAAGCTGCTGCTTCAGGTTATGGTAGCAACACCCAAGGGCCTGCAGACCTGCAGACCTGCCCACTGACTTGTGCAGCATTGCCACAAAGGGTTATTGATCTCTCTAAGCCTGTTTAACATTCCCAATTATGGGAATTCCATGTTTTGTTGCAAGTATTATTTTAGGGTTTCAACATGTTGCAGCGAAAAGAGAAAATCTCTGCAGAAAATGAGTTTGAGCTTGATGAATTGGTAGGAAGGAGGAAATAATTAAGGAAAGTTTAACACTGGCACTCTGCCTTAAGGTTTGAGCAAAAGCTTTCCTGACAAACTGTGAGTTCAGATTGCTGTTCCCCTCTGATATTTTTCTGATCAAGTGTGTCCATGTTACTGGAAGTTACTTTTCTGCCTGGTGCAGACAGGGCAGTTGCACTTGCACTCCTGGTCAGCCTTTTGACCCATGGCCTAAGGAAAAACCCTCAGATATCCTGCAAAGCAAATGTTCTAATAACAGGTAACATATGTTATATATGTTATATAAAGACCAGGTATTATTATCTGGTAATCCTGTGCTCAGCTCTGGGCCCCTCAGCTCAGGAGGGACATTGAGGGGCTGGAGCAGGTCCAGAGAAGAGCAACGAGGCTGGGGAAGGGACTGGAGCACAAGTGGCATGAGGAGAGGCTGAGGGAGCTGGGGGTGTTCAGCCTGGAGAAGAGGAGGCTCAGGGGAGACCTTCTCACCCTCTGCAACTCCCTGACAGGAGGTTGGAGTCAGGTGGGGGTTGGTCTCTTCTCCCAGGCAACCAGCAGCAGGACAAGAGAGCACAGACTCAAGCTCTGCCAGGGGAGGGTTAGGTTGGAGATTAGGAAGAGATTTTTTCCAGAGAGAGTGCTCAGGCATTGGAATGTGCTGCCCAGGGAGGTGGTGGATTCCCCATCCCTGGAGGTTTTCAAGCTGAGACTGATGTGGCACTTAGTGCCATGGGCTAGTGACCATGGTAGGGTTGGACTGGATGATCTTGGAGGTCTTTTCCAACCTGGTTGGTTCTATGACCCTATGATTCTATATCAGAAAAAGCAGAAGCACAGGCAAGGAAAGAGAGAAGCTGAATCAGAGGGGAAAAAAGGGTCCAGAGAATAACAGACTGGGACACTTGGCTGCAACACTGAAGAAGGTACTAGAGTAAAGGACTGAATGGTTGCTTCAAGAGATCCTGGGGGATGACAAAGCAGCAGGAAGCAGTCAGGTTCTGGCAGCCTGGCTTGGCAGGGAAAAGCCACCACAGACCAACCCAAGTCCTTATCTCACTGAGAGAAGCCATGGATGTGCCATAGCATGAGCTTGATAAGGCTTTCAGCAGAAATCTGAAGTGTCCTCATATGTGAAGGGCCTTAAGATAAGTACAAAAAGCACTGGGAATCAGCAGCTTCTGGTCAAACTGGTGAGACATTTCAAGTGAGCTGCACCAGTCTGTCCTACACTAGTTTCTCTCAAATTTGTGGTCAGAAAATAAATGGAGGGTATGAGCTATCAAACTGTGGGGGACACTGAGAGGGAAAACAAGCACTTCCACTGGTGGTTAGAAGCTATGAAAAGGAACCAAAGTACTGAAATCAATCAAGGGATTGCAAACACTCAGGGAGGTGCAGAACACAAGGAGGTCAAGCAGGGATGTAGCACTGGGTGACCATCCTGCAGAAAAAGTTGGGGGTTCCAGCAGGAAACAAAGGAGCTGATGTCAGTGGAGGAAGGGAGACAGAAAAAAAAAGAGGGAAAATCCCATTTTGGAGGTTTATCTTCATCACAGTACTGTGTATGAAGCACCTGGGGTAACTCTTCTCTCAGCTGTTCAGCTGTCAGAGTCTGTGAGGCTCAGTGTTTGAGTCTGCTGCACCAGCAAAAATGTGCTCAGGACAATCACAACTCCAACAAAAAGGACAGCCTGTAGGAAGCAAGAAATTAGATTTTCTTTCTTTTTTTTTTTTCCCAGAAAAATAAGGAAGACACAGTCATGATTTTCTAATATGCAAAAGAAATGAAGGACAATGACCTATGTCCTTCCCCTTGAGGGTAAGGCAAGGAGCAGCGAGTTTGGGAGCAGATTTGTGTTGGATACTTAAAAAAACTTTCAGGATAATGAAGCCATGGGCATTTCAAAGAACAATCAAGACCAAGATGTAAAAGCAGCTGTATGCCATACAGCTGTAGGAAGGGGAAATGCAGTAGGTGCTGTCCAAGGACCTTTCCAGGCTAACATCACTATGTCAGCAGTCAGCAAATGGAAAAGAAAAAAAAGTACAGACAGAGAAGAAAAATCTCCTCTGTTAGGATCCTATGATTTGGTTTTACAACTGATGTCAGTACCAGGAAATGGATTTAAATGTGCTTCCTACAACAAAGAGCAAATGTGAGGTGGAAAGCTTTGTGTCTGATCGACTTGATAAGCTGCAGGTGGTATGGGCTGATCCCTCCATGGCTCAGGGATCTGTTTGGAGTCTGGGGCTGCACTGAGTGCCTTTCACAGGCACTGGGCAGAGGGACCAATTTAACAACCTCTTTCAGCAGTAACTGGAGCAGTAGAAAACCACTGTCCAAAACAAGTCCCCTGGGCCAGAGCCCTAAGCCAGTGGGAGAACAGAGTGCTCTGATGACTCTGAACTCCAGAGTTGGATCCATTTGAGCCACGTGTTGATGTCCCTCTCCCTCTGAGATATGCAGAAAACAAAGGGAAATGCCAGCACAGCAATGCAGTGCTGAATAACTGCATTTGTTCTGCTCCATTACTCACTGAAAAATTGGGCTGGGATTTCCTAACCAGCAACATGTTCCCAGGACAGGGCTTTTCTGCCAGTTGCCTTGGGCACATTCAGGACAACACCCCAAAATACCAGGCCCATCTTTTGTTGTATCCAGGCCAGAAAGGGTAACTCCAGCTCCCCTTCAAACCAGAGGTGTCAGGTGAGCATAAGAAATGCTGTGTGGGTAATACTGGTGATCAGTCACCACTGAAGTAT